ATCGCAAGGCACATTGTGCCTGCAGTGCAGTCCGGTGCGATGCGATCAAACTGCTGCAAGTCGGAGACCATAACATACAGGGGTACAGGTACGCCTAAGAGCAAAATCCCACATGGACTAATACACACGCACACACCTGCTCAAACATTATTGCATACACACAATAGGTTGGACTTGATGGACTTATGTCATTATTCAACCTCAAATGCTATGTAACTATGTACTACACTTTGTATATTTTTCCTAAAATGCTAGTTGTTAGAAAGGGAAATGCTAACGGAAAGCACAACCCAAAATAGACCTTCCCTGCTTAATGTTAGGTTTTGTGCACTGGTTACTTATTATTTAATATGAGCTATAAAAGAACTTGTGCAGAAGTTAGTTTTCTATGTAAGTGTATCTTACTATGAACATTGCAAATACCTAGAATGTCGTGCTCAAATTATGTTCTATAGGTTCAAGTAAAATTTGTTGAAGGATTTTAAAGTATTTATTATGATTTTCTTGACTTATAGTGATTCCGCAGAGTTTGAATCGTTACTGGGAGCAAGGGATTTAGTAAACTAAAACCTGTTCTTAGAGGCGAAGATAAAAAGTGTAGTCAGTTTAAAGCAGCGAACTCAATGGAATTGAGTGCCAGGAAACTCCATTGTGCATCTTGCGGTTATAAAATATAGTATCGTGTAAGGGTAAATATAATTTTCTTGGCCAAAAGAACAGCAAAACAGGCTTGAGGTATTATATGGAGTATTGCCTACAGTTTCAAGTCTGCCTGTCTTTTTAACATCTTAAGTACAAAATAGGCCTGACTAGACGCCAGGAAGTATGAGTAAAACTGTATAATTCATTGGTGGCTGGAAATTACACCCACCTACCTGGGTCAGATTAGGTCATCCATTATGCTAAGTGAAAGATTTGAGCCTTCATGGCAGAAACGGCTGCTTTCAATGTTATATATGACTCCCCTAAGACCATTTACAATCAATTTTTACCTTCACATCACATGTTAACCTGGTAATTCTACCTTATGCCTGCAACATTAATTTCACATATTCGTTTCTTCTCGCTGGACAGCGGCACTGCATGTGTACGTATGAATAGATAGATAGATGGATAAATAGGACTTTTTTTAGATAAAGAATATTTTGCACCTTGTCATAATTTGTGACTTTGTCCGTGTCCATTGGAAAGTTTTGGTTGCTCCCATCCATCTATGTCTGTTCCTGCTCTTGCTGTTGCATTCTCCTTGATATAAAGTGAATACAAAAATCTAAGAGGGAGGAAAGAAACTCCTCATTATGGCTACAGCAGGAGAGCAGGTCCAGGAACTCAAGCACATTTTAAAATCCAACTCCAAGCACAGCTATTTGTATGTTTTTTTTAAAATGGTTATTACATGAAACTCTAATGTTTTACTTGGTGGAGATGTGTTTCTAGCCCTGCTGCATATTTTATGGTCCTGCCCTGCCCTGCCATACAACTCTTTTTGGACTCTCTTCTGGTCCATGCTATTACCCTAAAATTCACAGATTACCCCATACCCAAGGAACCTGTGTTCTTCTGGATATGCCACAATACATTTCCACTGAAAACATACAAACGATCTGTCATAATACACATGGTTTACCTTGCGCGTACCAGTATCCCTGTACTATAGAAAAAGCTATCACTGCCCACAATCCAAAAATGGCTCCACCTCATTAGCAACATTTAACCACTTGCTGTCCGGGGCATTTTCTTACTATTTGCGCACACATGATAAAATATAAATTGCTGCCTAGAAAACAGCTTCAAACCCCCAAACAATATATGTTCTGAAAGCAGAGGCCCTGTAAAATAAAAAAAGGCTAGTTGCAATTTTTTATGTCGAATGGTTTTTGCGCAAACGTTTCTCAAACCAGTATTTTGAAGAAAAAATAAACTAAATGAAAATTTAGTCTACAGAAACAGAATATAATACCCAATTTTTTGGTAAAATATGAAAGACCGGGTCACGCCGGATAAATAGATACCAAACATGCCAAGCCTTAAAATTGCGTTTGCCCGTGAAGACGCAAAAAAGTCAATACCACAAATTTCCCGTGGGAAACACTTTAAACGCTTTTACCGCTCATCAATTTAGTGCTAACTAAAGTGATTGACAGGGCGAGAATTATTGCTCTCTCTCCGACGCAATATGTAACATGTGTAGCGCAAATGTTGTTTTTGCACGTAGGCGCACCAACACGTGTTTGCATGTGTATGTGCGTGCACGTGGGGGGCGGGGGACTTGCATTTTTTTATTTTTCTTATATGTCACTTTCATTTTTATAATTTTTTTTTACACTAGCCCTATTGCTATCACATAGGGTGCTAACAAGCACCCTATGTAATAGCAGATAGGACATAACAGGTCCTCTTTATGGAGACATCAGGGGTCTTTCAGACCCCTAATGTCACCTAGGGACCCCAAAGAAGCTGAGGAAGCAGAGATTTGCTTCCCCAGCTTTATCTCCTGGCTCTAAGAGCCGGAGAGTGTAACGAGTGACACCAGAAGTGATGTAATACACATCACTTCCGGGTCCAGTGATCGGAGGCAAGATCAGCAGGTGGAAGCTGATGACTCTCTCCGATCATTGCAGGGAGACCCGCCGAGCCGCTCCCAGTCACCGCACGGTGACAGCGGTGCCCAGAGAAGCCAACGGTGGCAGGGGGTGTGGAGGGGACATCGGCACACGGTACAAACGATCCGCGGCAGTACAGACGCCGGATCGCTTGTACCTTAACGGCAATCATCTGCTGTTAAAAACAATACCAAGAACATGTCTATAGATGTATTGCGGCCCAGAAGTAGTTAATGAATGGGGAAGCTTACTAGGTCCATTAAGAGTACTGATGCAAAATTCCACACTACTTGGCATTATTGGACAGGCTACACCTTTTTTATATTGGACTAAAAAATCTTATTATGTCCTCTGGTGCAGACTGAAAAATCCTGTTATCTCCTCAGGTGCAGCCATTGACCTTAATTGACCACAGTCTCTCCTCTCCCCCCATATTCCTCCTCCCCTACCAAAACCCTCTTTCTGCATTGCCCAAAGTGACTGGTTGGATGCTTGTCTTTTTATTTCGAGTTTCTTTGCCACCACATTTTATATACGAGGTCCATTATAATTTGAATAAACAGATAATCATCTCACACTCTACTATACTGCTTACTGCAAATCTTTACACATCTGCTGGGTACTAATTTTCACCTGTATAGGTTTTTAGGAGCACCTCAAATGCACATAGTCTGACCTTAGGTTAGAGTGCTCCTCTGATTTTGGGTATATTTTAGGTATAATATGTATTATGCGTTATTACAGCTTTCAAATTTACTTCAAATTTCACGTCCCTGCCCGCTTTTTCTGACAAACACTTATACTGAAACGACATAAATTGAATTTGGAACACTAAAATTGCCCTGCCAGGCATTAATGGGTTTTGACTGTTACATAGTAAAAGAGTAAAACTTTTTTATTCTGTTCTGATAAAAGTAATTTTAGTCTATTGAATTAGGGTTCTAAAAAACATTTAGCCAATAATATGTTTGTAGGAAAAGTAAAGCATACAATATATTGTAATTTGCAGGTCTTGATGTTTCAATGGTATACTGGCAGGAAGTTAACAAACAGCAGTGCATTTCAAATTATCCAAAATGAATATACATACCCTATATTCTTGCTTACCCTATCATATTAGAGTTATTCAATTTAATCTCCAGAGAACATTATATGCAATGTAAATATGCACCTGCTAAGCCGCGTAGGATCTTTCATCAACAAATCCATTAGGCAAGTGAAATAGCACATTAGACTCTGTTAGTGGTTGCAGCATTCATGTTTATTTAAGGATTATAGGTGTTTTTGTGTGAACACATTTTCCATTTCATAACATTTACAGGGACAATTAATCTAAATATATGTAAAACCTTTTGGAAGGCAACTCAATTTATATTATTTTTCAGCTATTTTCTTAGTACCCTGTACAAAAGACACGTGGTCAGGAATAGTGGCATGCCACCATAGGCCTGACCATGGATTAAATATGCAACTTTGCATAGAAATAGTAGACATACACATTGGTAGAAATCCAAATACTATTTTGATGCTAGTGTGTATATATTAGGCAATTTTTATAGCATCCCTTGTATTTTCAGTAGGGAATCTATAGCATCCACATATTGTTCCTGCATTTGATAGGCTTCTGAAGACCCAGACTATGAGTTTGGGTTATTGAAAGGCCTAAAGTGCATGTGAATGCTAACAATGAATTTCTCTGACTTGCTCCCTATTATTATGGTAATTACACCAAACAATACATGTTGATCCTTCCCGAAATCCAGTGAGCTAATATCTTTCTGTGCTTTGTGCCTCCACTGCACTGTAATCAGTAACAATTGTTCTAAGTGCTCTCTGTGGACTACAAAACATGTTACGGAGATGTATAAGTGCAAAGCTTCTAACTTCCTGTAGTGGGCTAACAAATGCTGCACTAAAAACTCAAACATTGTTATCAGCCCGGCCTAAGTCAACCTTTGTGAACTACAGAACTGCTCCTACCTATGTTATGTAGATGATGAAAGAAGCTGTTCTTGAATCCTAACGCACTTCCTGTCCTACGCAACGTGCTCTGCCATTAGATACAGTGTGGTTGGGGAGTGTTATCAACCTAGGATGGGAAGTGTTTTACTTAGTGTTTATAATCTTACTGATTATCCTATTTCTGATTCTTTGGGTAAGAGTAAAAATATTTCTGCTGCATAAGATTTATTGAATTTTTCCAAAGGTAGAACCTATTTTGACGTTTGGCTATGTGTAGTCCACAATTTCCCATTGTCTTTTCTAAGCCTCATCTGTCTCAAATCTTATGCTGTGAATCATAAAGTTTTTTTGTGTTTAGAAAATTTTCATACCACATAAGCTGTGTTTTAAATGTGTTTTTTTTTGTGTTATTACATTTATTATGTTATTCCACAGAGACCTAAGAAGCCACCCCCTCCATCAGCTCCTGTAAACAAGGCAGGAACAGGTAGGTGTGCATCTATCTTACGCTCTTAATATGATGATCTTTTCTGTCAAAAGTAACTAGGTTTGAAGAAATGTGAGGATGTGTCATCCTGACTACAGCTAAACCTAACAATAATGCATTACCATTACAGTGCAAAGAACAGTCACAGTATACAAAATGCATCTATCAGTCTTAATTAGTAACGGTGAACAACTTTTTGGGGACCTAGAGTTGTCTCACCAGTGCAACTGCTGCGGTTGACTGTTGTTGTTGTTGACTGCTTGCAGCTGTGAAATATTTAGTTAGTCTCATAGAACCTTTTTAATGAAAAATATTGTATACTGATAACCTCATGCATTTACACATGTAACAATGGTATTAGATATATTGATTCGGTTTTTATTTGACATGATTGTATTTATTTTTTTGCATCAAGCTGCAGGCCAAAAGCACACCTTATAGTGTTAGACTTCACTGCCCTTTCAGGTCCTAGGAGGCAAAGTCTCTTGAAAACTCAGTCGTTGAACTTGTGCCGACCAGTTCTCTTTCCCCCACTCTATCCACGTTGAAAGTTAAAACCATGTGTAAGTGCTGCGTTGTATCTTACACAGGTTTGCTCTGCTGACATCCTCCCAACCTATCTGAGATGGGAAAGAGGGACACGTTCCAGTACAATGCCTTTAGGCAATGGACACACCTCCTGCTACGTCCCCTGTTTTGTGGAACTTTAGAAATGTATATGTCAAAAATTATTGGTTAAACCTAAAACTGTTTTGTTTTCCACCATTACTTTTTCTTTTTACTGGCTTTTCACAATAGCAAACAATAATGACAATAAAAAAAACAAAAAACAATAATTAAGAGATAAGATAAAGGTTTAATTGCCGAATAACACCTTCGGTAGATAAATAGAACCTTTTCATAGATATCTGTACATCAGGTCAAAAGGAGGGCAACAGAGGAGGAAAGAGAGACGGGTGACTTTGGTACCCAATGAGGCACAGTCCCTCCAAATTAGGGACAGTTGGGAGGTATGTGACTGGCTGCTCAGGCCCAAGCACAGTATTCTGTGAGAAGACCTCTACTGCTCCATATTATCAGGTAATTTGGCAGGGCATAAACAAAGCAGTGGAGCAGCTTGGGAGCGTGGCGAAGATGATATAATAGGTTGAGGGGTGAGCTTTTAAGAGACCTAAAAAAAGTGACAGAGTCCCTTAAAAAATACACCTTATAACACAAGACGTGTTCCCTGGTATTTCAATGTTGATTCAGAAGCATAAAGAACCATAGAGATCAAAAATCCTTCATGGAGTGTGCTTGTTTGGAAAGCCGTGTTTCCCTTTTGAGATTTAGTATTAATATTTTCTTTAAACAAAATTCAGTAAAATGAAAAAATAATTCAGTATAAATGGGTTAAACACATCTAGAAAAGCTGGCTTACTTTAAGTCATGAGTGATATAATGAGATAATTATAATGCATTTCTATTTTTACTTTGCTTTAATGTCATGATGGAGTTACACACAGGAAAAGAGCAGATCATTACATTGCTAGTGACCTAGGATTATATCACATTACTGAACATACAGAGGTGGACAAGCCTTCTTCTGCAGAGTTTGGCTTTACTTATATCAGCCTCCTTTGCTAAGCTAGGATCAAATCTTTGTGGTGACTTTGCATATATGAATTTAAAGTAGGCTGAATATCCAGCTAGACAAGATAATCTCACTTCAGCCAAGGTGTCCTGACTAAGCCCCTTCTATTACATTGTCTTGCTCGCTTCCCTGGGGTCTGTGTGTTTTTCCTTTTTATAACCCCTCAGTTACAATCAATTCCTCCTTCTTGTGCAAAAGAACACGTTTATCGGGATGGTGACTTTACATTGTCTTTGATTGCAGTAGGCACATCGGATAGGAAACAGGAAATCAGGAAGATCCCTCCAGAAAGGCCTGAAACTCTGCCACATAGGCCTGAGGAAAAAGGTGAGTCCTTTAGATAGTTTTGTTTAGTGATAGTATACAATGGGTAAATACTGAAGATTCAGTCCAAATAATAATAGTTGTGTAATCTGTGAAAGGTGATATAATATACCTACAATCAAATTACTTACAGAAAATCCATGTTGTACATTTGCCCTCTTCAAATTAGGCCAGACCATATACATTCTAAAGCTTTTCATAAAGGGTAGAGGTTTCCTGAGCAAATACAGGCAGGAAGACATGTCCATTTTCTGTAGCTGTATCTGTAGCACTGGCTGCAGGTTTACATCCTTTTCCTTTTTTGTGGGCCTAGACAGAACCGAATGGATGTAAACAGACGTTGTCAGTTTACGTCCGTTTAGTTGATGTCTGTTTTTATTATTCACCAGGGAGGGCATGCACAGGGTCATCCATTTTGTGCAGCAATCATGGCCAGGAATATCATGAAACTAGCAAAATAAGCTTTATTTTTTCAACAAACCTGAAAAAAAATTATTTTTAAAAAGGATAAAAGTGGATGAAAAACTGAATGTAAATGGACCTAAACTGAAAACACATATGCAAACTGATGAAAACTAATTAAGGGGAATTTATCACAACTGGAGCAGACAAAATTTGGAGCAGCTGTGTATGGCAGCCAATCAGCTTCTCTCTTCAGTTTGTTCAGTTAAGGTTTGAAAATGAAAGAGAGAGACTGATTGGTTACCATGCTCAGCTGCTCCAGGTTTTGTCTGCTCCAGTTTTGATAAATTCCCTTCATTCTGTATTCATCAGTTTTATATGCAACAGAACTGGCACCCGTGTAAAAGGGGCCACATGAGAAAAGGAAGAACTGGCCAGGTAAAAAAGTTGGAAAATCTCCATTAACAATAGTAAGAGTTCCTGATGCTTGAAGCACAGATTATAACCTTCAAAGGTTCTAAGGGTTATAGTCTACATCAAGGGTAGCCAAACTCCGGCCCTCCAGCTGTGGTGGAACTACAAATCCCATGAGGCATTGCAAGATTCTCATAGCCACAGACATGACTCCCGGAGAGAGATGCATCATGGGATTTGTAGTTTCACCACAGCTGGAGGGCCGGAGTTTGGCTACCCCTGGTCTACATCCTTGGTTCTCAACTGGTCTGTCCCGACCCCCTTTTCAGTGGGTCACCGCATGCCTTCCAGTTTTCTAGGTGAGAGGCCCCTCAGCCTCCCCATAGCGCAGCACTGTCAGTTCACACGCCAAGCAGCCGGGACGGGAGTGACGTCACATTCTGGCTCCCGGCACCTCTACAGGGCACGCAAGGGAGCTGTACAAGCAATGCGCTTATAGATGGAGCTCCATCATAGCACAGTAGCCCACACTGGACCCCAAGCTAAGCATCCAATCCAGTTCTCCTAAGATAGGGAGACAGGGTGGATCTTCAAAAAAACATATATTTTTTTTTTTTTTGAGTGTGTGTATATGTGTGTGTGAGGTTGTGTCTGTGGTTGTGTGTGTCTGTCAGTGTTTTTGAAGGCCCGTTCACACTAGTACAGTCCCATGCGATTAACGCACTGTACCAAGCAAAATTGCACCTACCGCGATTTCAGGTGTGGGAGGTGTGTTGCATTGCCATTTATTTGAATAGCACCCCAAACACACCTCCAACCTACAGTTTGATCGCCCGCACCGGTTCAGCAATGCCACGTGTTTCAGTGCGGTGTGACTTGGGTCGCGACTTAATGACCAGGGACAAATGTGGGTCCTGAGGTTACACCGGTTGTGAACCACTGGTCTACATGACCTGTTTAACAGCACCTTGAAAAAGCAAAAATGTACTATTGTTTGTCATATCATCTAGTTAGATGTCAGTATTTAAACATCAACTCCATAAAGAACAGAATCTCAATGCAGTTTCAGAAAAGCTATAGTACATGTCAAAACATTTATGAGCTATATTGCAGTAGATATGCATGCAGAAGAATTCAAGACATTAGGGACGGTGTGTGTCCATTCCTCCTCAGCATGGCAGAGCTATTAATCATATGAATGGATCAGACCCAGCAGTGCTCCCAATTATCTTAAAGCAGCAAATAATTCTGTGTGTCTGGTATAGGAGATATCATGATTTGCATTAGTAGCTCTTCCAGCTTTAGAAACGGAGACAATATTGCAGAAAGACTGCATGTAGAGATCCCGGCAGTTCTGCCAAAAGCATAGACATGTTCCTGTTTAGGCTGCCATCAGATTAATGACTGTTGATGTCTGGTTGCCATAAGTTGCAGCACTATTATTTTCACACCGTGTTATCAAATAAAGAGCTACTCTGACTACATTTAAACCACTGCTAGGTTATTTGCATTTTTTTCTACTGTTTTAAAACTGTTCAGACAAGTCTATGGGAGCTGTATGAGTAGGGTTGCCACCTGTCCAGGATTCACCCGGACAGTTCGGGTTTTGAATGCTGTGTCTGGGTTTCATGGCAGCAGAAACCCAGACACAAGATGTCAGGCAGACAGGGGCAACCAAAATGAAGGTAGGGCCTACTGGCTCCCCACTGAAAATAGTCTGACATGATATTTACATATGAATGGGTGGCGCTATTTACATATGAATACGCCGCAACTCATTCTCCCGAAAAAAAATGGCCGTGCGTCGCTAGAGTGTTCGGGTTTCGCTTGAACAAAAGGTGGCAACCCTATGTATGAGGCAGGTCACCTACAGGTTACATGCACCTGCAATTAATTCTGAATAATCTTGGAAGCATCTTTAATTGATGTCAAAAGCATGGTGGATTTAAAGCAGGTGGACACAGGCACTGAAAGAACTTGCACTACTCACATAAGGGGTCACTTTAAGACATAAGTAATAACAGGTCAAATATTACACTATTAGGTCTTCATTGTCTTTTTTAGCATCATATATAAGCATAAGGAATTAAAAATATTCAGTATATACAGTATTTTTGGTGTATGTATTTGCAAATCATAAAACATTAGATCTTTAAAATCTTTAGAACATCTTTACAGTTTAAATTTGAGAAAACCCCTCTATATGTTTATCTGTTCCTATTCACACAGCATATGGAAAACTAATTCTTAAAAAAAACATTACTTACCTTTTAGATGTTTTGTTGTAGCAGCAGTGGTGTATTCTGGTTTCTGGCGTTCCCCCCCCCCTAAATTTACCCCACCCGACTGTGGTCTCAGGAGGGCTCTGCAAGGTTTGTGGTGGGCTTTGCAGGCTGCCCCCTATGGATTCTGCAAAGCCCACCACAGATCCTTTAAAGCCCCCTAAAACCCGGATACTGCAGGATCTCGGGAAGGTTCTGCAGGATCTGTGGTGAGCTTTGCAGGCTGCAGAGTACACTATGGATCCTGCAAAGCCCCCCTGAGACCCGACAAAGCCCCCTACGGATCCTGCAGAGCCAACCAAAGGGTATTGCACAGCACACCTGAGACTCTTTGGTGGGCTGTGCAGAATCTATGCTGGGCTCTGCCAGCACAGTCCTCTTACCTTGCACGGCCTAACCTCTTTGGTACACGGCCTCCTTGTCCTTGGCGCCCGACTGGACGGCCTCCTCATCCTCGGTGTCCAACACAGCCTCCTTGTCATCTTCGCTGCCCAACTGGAGCTCCGGCGACTACTCCGTCTGTCTCTGTCCCCTGCCTCCTCCATCTTCGCCCCCCGCCTCTTCCGTCTCTGGAGCCACTCGACAAATTTTCTTCTCTCATGGGGGCCGCTTGCCAAATTTCATACTATAAAATAAAATTTAACTGTATCCTCTATGGCACTACAGACACCAATATACACACAATAAGACCCCATTCATATCTGTAGGTTTATATATATATATTTTACAACCCCAGTCTGTGTCCCCCCACACACATTTAAAATCCCCCCTTCCCCCTCATATAAAATATAATCTAGAGCCCCCTCTTCTGCTTACCTTGTTGCAGGGAGGAGGCTGTGAGGTGGCACGTCTGTCCCGGTCTGCAGACCTTCCCAATTGATCCTGCACAATCCTTTCAGTGAACGCTGGCCGAAAGGATCCGACTGCAGGCGCAGACTCAGATACACGGTCTGCATCCGACAGAGATGCAGACCGTGTAGCTGCTCCCGCAAGTCAGGTATGCGGTCCGTGACCGCGTACCTGACATCTGAGCTGGCTGCGGGTCACAAAGTACCGGCCCACGGGCCGCAAGTGGACTCTGCTGCCCGAGGCAAACGCCTTGTTTGCCTCATGGCAGATACGCCGCTGTGTAGCAGGCAAGATAGCTGAATCCAGGTTTTTCTGAGCACCTTCTTTATAGAAAGACTTAGGACTGAAATTTGAGGATTGTGTTTCTCTTATTAACTCCATTAAAGGAGAATTAGGGGGCTAGTCAAAAACACTCATCCCCAAAATTCAAGCTGACCTGTGACGCTGAAGTTGTCACAGATCGGCTCTATTGATCGAGAAATCAGCGAACACATACCACCGATCGCTGATTTCCCGATCCTCTCCCTGCAGAGTGTTGACTGTCAGGTATCCCTCCCCACAGAGATCCCCCCCCCCTCTATTTTTCTAGCGCTGACTGGGGGGAATGGATGGGGTAGGGGGCGGGCACAGCTGGCTCTGCTTCTAGAGGGGCAGAGGCAGCTGTCAATCAGGCAGAGGGGTGGACCTTGACAGTATTGTCAGGATCTGTCCCGGTTGTGGCATGGCTCTGCGCTCTCAGCATATAGTGGGCAATAGCCCCTATATGCTGAGTTTTGGGTCACCAGAGGACATTAGTATATGTCCTCCCATGGCCCCGAAGAGAACTATGGGCAAAAAAGGTTGCCCCGCAGTTCTCCTTTAACATACAGTAGCTAAGCCAGGCATTTAATAATTTAACCCCTCACCGCTCTGCCCAACATTACAAAGAAGCAGCAAGTAGAAATTTTAACCCTTAAAGCCCAGAAACCCTAACCCAAGTAAAAGCAATTTAAATTGTAAAAAGGTTTTTTTTAGCTTACACTATGTGAATGGGAACATGTAACAATTATAAAATAGGTGTTATCCCAATTTGGCTGCAAACGTGGAAATATACTTTATATCACTGATGCAGGAAGTGGGAAAATGTCTCCAATGATGACATTACAGCAATAAAAAAACATTTTTTTAAATATGGGGATTTGTTAAAATCTCTTTTTCATTGCTGTCTGCTCTGTGTTGGGGAGGTTTTCCTGTACTTCCTCTTTCAGAGGCCATTATTACTGAGATAGAAGGGGTGGGAGGAATCTCAGCAGTGAGAATAAGGCCCCTTTCACAGGGCCTGATTAGGAGACGACTTGTGCATCTCTGATCCGTTTGTTTTTCCCAACCTGGCCGAAGTTGGGTGTAACTGGGTTTAAACGGATGCCTGTCTGTTTACACATGGCTGCCTATAGATTTACATTGGGCATTTGATCGTGTCCACCTGAAAAAATGACAGGCAAACCCGATTGGACCACCCGTGTGAAAGGGGCCTTGAAGCCTATCAAGGTTCTAACTTTTACCTCACTCACAAATATTTTTGGCTGGAATTCCAATACAAAACATGCATTTTAATTGTTAATTGTATTTATTTATTTGACTGGTTATATTGCTGATTCTAATATTACTGATAATACAGGTACAGAAAGGAGAGCCTCCTGTTTAAACAAGTATATTAGGGCCTGTTATAAGAACTCTTATGTAGTCTCACCAGTTCAGGAGACAGTCCAGGATACAGTTGTCATTCATCAGGCAGAACCTGGTTGGATGGCAACACATTTACTTCACTGGATTAGCATTCTTATTTACTGGACTGTGTCCTAAACTGCACGGTACACATTGTTGAAATTGCCCTCCTTTCCCTTTCTTAGACTAAAGTAGCAGGTTCACTGAATATTTATGAAGCATTTTGTTTAGGAACAAGCTACGGTCAGCACTTTTTGGTAACCATATAGATGAATGAATCACTTTGCACATATCTAATGCTACTGTTCTATTTATATTTTGCTGTTCCTAACAGGGTTTATCAATTTTCTTCAGCTTTATACTGCGTATGTATGTATGCTTTTGGACATAAAACACTTTCCTGGTAATATCAAAATATATGATTTTATTTTGCAGAGAGGCCAGAGAGAGATCACAAAGTAGATCCCCCCCTAAAGCACTCAGTGCCTGCTATACCTCCAAAGAAGCCTCGTCCTCCAAAAACAACCTCTTCAAATAAAGCAGGCACATTGCCACCAAGAAGACCAGAGAGACCAGCAGGACCTGTAACACACACAAGGTAAGGTTTTAATACAGAGACCCCTACTTTACTTGTTGTTTGATATATCTGTGGCTCAGAAATCTAAAGCTAACCGGTTATAACTATAAACCAGTGTAGAGTCAGAAAGTCAGTACCACCAGGTGCCTACACACACAGTACCTATAGAATCCTGAAACTCTACACTTCTATGCCTAGGCTCTGGGTTTCTGGTTTGGAAAAAGCCAGTGCCCATGACTGGTGCCCACAATTGACTGTGCGAAGTGGTAAAATAGGGGAGAGTACCTAATTGCTGACTTCCTGAAAATTCTGTATTTGCATATACTGTAGATTTGCAGGGCTCGCAGGGTACTGTGGGGCAGAGATTCAAGATTCTGGAGGTATGTAAGAGAAACTGTTAGCGTCCCTTTTGCAATTCTGCACGATTACAAACTTGTCATCTAGTGAAAAAAATGATGTCTTTATTGCTTTGCTTTTGGCTGTCAGTGGCCATGATTACTTCCACTGGTTTTCGCAAAACCACACTGCACAGCCAGGAAACGTGCTCTATTACTTCCTGGTTCAGCTATATGGCTTCTTGGGTCACCTCCCTGCTCACTGGACAGAAGTGATAATGTTGATTCGTTATGCAGTTATCATAGTGGAAACAGGTGAAATTGGGGTTGTGCATCTGACTTTCAGGGTGGCTGAAGTATGTAATTCACAAGACGGTCTAGACAGGATTAAAAATGTATTTCAACTCTGTTTGCCTACAGTCCTCCTTTGTTTTCTAGCAGATTCAAGATTGGGAGGGGGAGCATATAACACAATCATGGCAGGCATAAATAAGATTACAGTTATGTATGTCCACTCGGAACATGTTACTGCACATAAAACTTGCCAAAAAAAAACCGAGACAGAACGCAACAGATTGGAAGGAAACTGGAAGGTCAACAGACCCTCCGTTCACTTGTGAGTGGTTTGCGATTTTTTGGTGATTGCACACTTATGCCTAACATGCTCCACCTTCCAGACACTGCAGCTTACAGTGGGAGGGTTTTAATATCAGGGGCATTACTGTCAATCTGGAGAGAAGTTTGCAGGGCTAGGTGTGACCAGGTGCTGACTGACACACTACAGGCTTTTGATTCTGCAGTGACAATGCTGATAGCCATGCACCCTGCAATGTCTATTCACCCCACTATGACAGAAGCAGGAATCACCTACATGATGGTGAAAATGCTGTTCTCAATTCAGGAGCAGTGCAGCAGCATTGTTACCCAATTACAGGAAGCCCTGAGTATTGGGTGAGTATAACTTTTTTTTAATTTCCTCCCTACACCAAAACAAGCGGTCAACACTTGCAGTGCTGGGTTGCCCCACTGCAAGGGTTAATGAAGGTTTTGCCCGGAGTTCTTCTTTAATACATAGATATTAATATTTCCCCTATAATGTTCAGCGTAGACCGGTTACATCAGATGAACATTTTCTTAGTAGATGTCTTAAAAAGCAACATGATAGAAATGAAACTATACGTCTAATTTATTTAGCTGATACTTTTCTAGGCCTCATGAGAAATTGAGCTCTAAATGAATTACTGGGCCCTCTATAGGCTTCTCCTAGTTTCTGTAATAACTTGACAGACTTGGATGTTGTAAAGGTGACTCCTTTGGCAATTATGTAATCTGAGTATGATGTACTAGCAGTGGAGTTATATTTATCTTCTACTGCCTGCTAAGCTTGGGTCAGTGAAAAAAGCTGTGTTGTAGAATGTCAGCAATTCATAGCAGAATTAAATCTGCAAGTACTCTTAAGCTGGACATACACTGCCGTATTTTTTTTTCCGTTCCACTTGCGGGCTAAAGAAAAAATAGAGCATATACGTCCATCAATGCGGTTTGATCGAGGAATCCCTTTCATACAATATATCATTTATATATACGATTGCATCTGCATGTGCTATTTTCTTTTGGTTCCCCTGCAAAGTTCCACACCTGCTTGTTGATCTGCCCGTAAAGTCCACCTAATGCAGCTCCCAGTGATGCTGTGGCAACACTGCTGCACTACTCTAGAATTCACTACTCTAGAGTTGCCGACCTTTTGTAGGCTGTGTCTGCTTGCAATACAATGGGATGAAAGTTGCAGGGGACGTGGCTATTAGCATTGTCACTGCTGGTTGACAAACCTGTAGCTTATCAGTCAGCATCTGGCCACACCTAATCCTACCCACTACTTTCTGGATTGACAGCACTGCCTCTGTTGCTGGAACCCTCCCACTGTGAGCTGCAGTGTCTGGGTGGGGAAGCATGGGAGAAACAAAAGAAGAATCATTTGGTTCACTCAGGGAAGGTAAAAATGTTTTTTTGTTTACTTTCAGAGGCTTGCATATCACATAGTAACTAGATTTAGGACTTGTTTAGCCTGGCATACAGAAGCCTTCAAACATACTTTAAATATAGACTTTTGGCAATGGTCATCCAGGAAAGACCTTTCTCAAGGTCACAATATGCATATGTCGCCTGCTCCCCATGTGGAAATCCCTAGGCAGGGAGCTATATAAAAAAAAGTGTTTTCAAGAATTTATTGCAGGTATTCATATAGCATCGACAATTTACGACTAAATCTAAAAGATAAAACTGTATTGATTTAATAAATAACAAATATTTGTAAAATGTTACATTGCGCCTTTTTGCGTACATTTAACCGCAACACAGTGTATCACAACGCACAGCAATGAGTCACAACGTTTTGCCACACACTGCCACACAGTTAAATTATGTTATTTTGAAAAGAAATAATCACGCACTGCGATGTGTTCTGTAGCATTTGTTATTTTTGTTATTTTTACTGCTGGGGGGGGGGGGGGCTTTGAGGAAATATCAGGGGTCTAAACAGGCCCCTGACATTTCCCTTTTGAAATAGAAAAAGAAATTGAGGACACAGAGTCCTCCATCTTTTTTTCTGCAGCCTCTGTTCTAAATGAATGGAGATCACTCAGTACAGAGGCTTCCCATTTATTCAGAAACTGGTGATAGTAAAAGCTTTACTATTATCCAGTTATGAGTGGGTAGAAACCTCTATAGTGAGTGCTACTACCCATTCAGAAACTCATGAATGAACAGGAAGTGATGTAAAGCACTCCTGTTCATTCATAACTAGGGACACATACCGTGTTTCCCCGAAAATAAGACAGTGTCTTTATTTATTTTTTTTCACGAAAAAAGACACTAGGTCTTATTTTCGGGGGATGTCTTACCTGGCTGCTGCTGTCCGCTCTGCCGTCCAGGGAGCCACAAACAGAAACACAGGTGGGCGTGCGTGCGGGCGTGTCTGGCAGGGGGGTGGGGGCGTGTCTGGTACGGGGGCGGGAGGGAGCTGCCTCTCCGCTCTGATGTCATCCAGAGAGCAACAGCGTGCGGGTAGGTGGACGGGCGAGGGGGCGGGAGGGAGCTGCGGCCGGTCTTCACATGTGAAATTGAATTACATGTGCAGCTACCCCGAAGGTAAGATGTCTGTAATATAAGACCTACCCCGAACTAGGTCTTATTTTCGGGGTAGGTCTTATATTACAGAAATCCCCGAATATAGCACTAGGTCTTATTTTCGGGGTAGGTCTTACTTTCGGGGAAACACGGTAGTACTATGTGTCCCCAGTTGTTTACAAACACTGGAGTGATCAGCTGCTCTGCATACAATGGTAAATCGGATCCTCCACTCGGCCACACACAGAGCAGCTGTCATCCTCCTCCGCCAGCTTCAGCTGTCATTTTCTCCTCGGATCCCCGCTGCCTCAGCCCATATAGGCGGGGGAGAGCAGCGGGGATCCAAGGAGAAGCATGGATAGGGCAGGAGAGCCTGCAGATGCTGTTGGCGGCGAGGGGGGGAGATGACCAGATTTTTGGCTGATAGCTTTTCAGCCGCTGATGACAGCTATTATTTTAAAGGAGACCGTCACGGGGGGACCATTCTGATAAAAGTTCATGGTCCCTAAAGCTATCATGAGCTTATAGCAGAAGGGAGAAAGCCACCGACATAAGGCATACTGAGGTGACCAGCTACAAACAGTTGTGTTCCGCCTTAAGCCTTAAGTCGGTGGCAGTGAAATGGTTAATGTAAATTTAAAAGACTAGGAATCGACTTTAATGTAACTTTAAAAGATGATGGATACCCCTTTAAGGTAACTTTTAAATACTATGGACCCCTTTAATATAACTTTAAAAGGCTATGGATCCCCTTCAATGTACCTTTTTAAATACTACGGATCCCCCTTTATTGTAATTTTAAAAGGCTATAGATCCTCTTTCATGTAACTTTTAAATACTATGGATTTTCTATAATGTCATTTTTAAAGGGTATTAATAAACAGTTTAACCAGCTGTACACAATGAACTAAAGGATAAAATGAGGAAGACTGTGTTCACTGAATGTATCTAAATGCAGATTTCTCCTGTTTGAGGTATATCTGCAAATGTGCATCTTGTGTATTCCTGCATACATTAGGAGAAAAGAAATATCTTATGAATCATCTTTTACTTTTCTGCCACACAGGAGCGAGAGCCCAAAAGCAGAGGTAGGAATCAGTACTGTATCCAGCACTCCAGACAGAGACTCATCAGATAAGAGCAATGACATTGGTAAGTCCTAAATGTTTTTTCTGCCAGGTTATAAATATCTTCAGAGTCCCAGCTCTGTCATGCACACTGACAGATTCATACACATCCTAAATACCAGCCTACACAAATACTTGTAATAAACGTCTTCAGTCCTGAGGGTGTTTTATACTGGACACTGATCTAGTAAAGAGAAATCTGTAGGAAGATATTATAACATATCTCATACTGTTCCTTCTTATAATGAGGCAAAGTCTAAAGTTGTAAGAACTCTGATCATACAGTATTTCCTATGAGGCCAAAAAAGTAATCATCTGGATTTTTTAGTAAAATTCTCCTAACAACATTTGCAAATTAAATTCCTTTTTGTACAACTGTTTCTTTTGAGAAAGGACTGGAAAATATTAAAAGTAACATAAATAATTTAAATGTGACAATTGTAATCACTGCCGATGGTACAAATACTAGAACTACAGACTGTCACAGTGTTTATCAGTCTAACTCGTGTAAACCGAGAACAAACTTCCCATTTGGATGTCTATCAGCTTTATGCAATAAAGAGTTCTTATTCCTAAATTGTAACTAAGGAGAAAATCAAACATTGCATATATGACACATATTTGTAAATAGCTTTAACACTCACTGCATTTTTTGGTTTTATAAGTCACCCTATATTACGTGTTGATCCTACCAGTAGATTTATTATTTTTTCACTGCCTGTAATGGGCCAAGATGTTCAGGAACAGTGGCATCTACAGTGTGGGAGCAAACCTTATTACACTGGCATCCCAATGGGAGCATCATTTACAGTGTTCCTAAACAGTCAAATTAGATATATTAGTTATGGAACAGATAAATATTAGTCCTATTAAATAAAGATTTTGGATTCTAATATATATTGTTAGCTACACCCACATAGGGAATGTTTTTGTTTTTCCTGATTTTGTACTTTTGTGCTTTCTGCACTTTAATATTTTACCAGATTGCAAAGAACTCTTATTACTTAAAAAAAAAAATGTTTTCTCACTTTAGAGCGGGTGACAATGGTCACTAAGACAAAGAGAGTGAAATTTTCACTATCTGCATGAGCTTCAGGCCTTGCTGCTATCCAGCATTCCTGGGTGTGTTGGATATTAGCACCCAGCAGGGAACACACTATCTGACATACGTGTTAGAATGCATTGGCGTCTGGACGTAATGAAGACCATTTTCATTTGGTGCCCGCTGGAGCGGGGAGCTTCTTTTGCAGGGGGGCAGATAGCTGGATATTTTTTTTAGAGAAGCAGCAGGGTTGTTTTTAATTCTCTTTAGAACTCCATTAAGATTTGCTGACAGATGAATGATATGCAGGTATACTGTATTAACTCAACCTTTCATAAGTGATTTCATATACACTTGTACCTGGTCATTCCACTAACGTTTGTCAAAGGTTGCTGTAAAAGAAATACCGGTACATGTTTCTGGATTTTTGATCATCCCCATTTCTTGCTCTTGTCCTTTTTATATATCTGATCCTGTGAAACATAATTTAGTTGGCCAAAAGTATTGTACCCATTTAGACCTCCCCTTTCTTGACTTGGTGCCAGTGTGAACTACAAGTTGGTTAGAGTTAGACTGTACAATAACCAAGTGAACTAGTAAGAAAATCAGTTAATTGGAGCAGGCTCATGCAACAGAGCTACATGCCATGTGTTTTTCCTTCAGGCTACCTCTGTCCTTGGGATTTCCATGTAAACTGAACTTTACCCAGCCTACAAATGAGTCTATGGTAACAACAGTGCTGAAGAGCAGGTACCTACTGGTGCCTTAATAACTTGATAGTCTTCAAACTGATATCTGTGTTATCATGGAGTCCTTTGGACTTTAGACCCAGGCTGTATATGGGGCCATACAACGTATCCTCAAATTGAGATTAAGCCGCACCCTTCTTTCATTTGATCTCCACCGCTGTTATTTATTTGTCACCTGCCAGTGCTCCTACTGCTCAACGTGGCTTTGGTAAGTGACAGGGACAGCACCAGGAAAACGTGGGGCTCAGTGTCAACTTAGAGAACAGCCCAGCCACTGTGGTCTTGAGGTCGAAAGGGGCTTCCCAGAGAATTTACTTAAACACCAACACAGGTACTTGGTGCTTGCACTTCACCACTGTTTTTACCTTAGGCATGTTTTAGTTTAATTAATTAAATTACTTTCCTCCAGAGTGGCCAGTCAATAGCCAGGTTGCAGCCACTGTTGAGGGTGGAGCTGGCTGAGTATTATTAAAGTTGAGAGATTGGACACTTTGGTTGTGATAGTGCAGCTAATTGGATAGTGTGGTAGTGACACTGGAGTAGATCAGACAGCCTAGTGGGGAAAGGGATGCAACAGGTCAATGTGTTAATGACAGCAGAGCAGAGTACGCTTTGTGGTGATGACTGTGAAGTAGACCGGGGAATGAGATGGCGAATGGGGAGCAGATGGCAATGTAGTTGTCACTGAAAAATCCTTATGAGTGTTTCTGGCGTGATAAGGCCATTTATATTTACTGGACAAGAACATCAATAGTGTATTTACAATATACTAGCATAATATTAGTTCTTAACTTATTAACATATACTGCCTGGCCAAAAAAAAGCCACACACTCTCTAATATTTAGTTAGACCGCCTTTAGCTTTGATTACGACATTCACCGTGACAACGTTTCAATAAGCTTATGCAATGTCACAACATTTATTTCCATCCAGAGTTGCATTCATTTTTCACCAAGATCTTGTAGTGATGATGGTAGTCTAGGACTACTCCGTAAAGTCTTCTCCAGCGCATCCCAAATGGGGTTAAGGTTTGAATTCTGTGGTGGCCAATCCATGCGTGAAAATTATGCATCATGTTCCCTGAACCACTCTTTCATAGTTTGAGCCCAATGAATCCTGGCATTGTCATCTTGCAATATGCCCGTGCCGTCAGGAAAGAAAAAAATCCATTGATGGAGAAACACGGTCATTCAGTATATTCAGGTAGGCAGCTGATCTCATTTGTTGCCAGATGAAACATATTAATCACTGCAGTAATTGTCCAATGGAAGTCTCTTACCTATTTGCTTAGCTACATCCAGGTTGTGACTTTTTTTTTGGCCCGGCTAAATGTTTGCTAAATATGCCGTAGGGTAAATTCAAAAATACATGCAATCTACATTTTCCACCTTATAAATATACATTACTGCATACACAAAGGTGTGAACAAGCTCAGAGCCTAATGAACAAGTGATCTGAGTGTTGATAGATGGTCAGCATGCCACACACATATACTATGCATACACTCAACAACCCCAAATCAGAGAGGCTGTCATTTATCATCTATGGAAGTAGTGAATCCCCATGCACATTTTGTAAAATTAGTGGTAGATTGTGCAGTGCATCTAGAATTGCCTAACTCCCCAATGTGCGTAATACTGTTATAAACTCAGTATAAAGAGATAGCATTTCATGTACTTTCACTGCTTTTCGTTTTTTAAGTCATTAAAGATAATGGAGAGCTCTTATGTGCGGTGCTGAGTTTGAACTAACACTTTGCTAGTGAGGCAAGTTCTCTGGTGTAAACAAATCATAGAAGATTTGACATTTGTCACCTCTCCAATGTCATCTGTTCTAGTCACTCAGCCACTTTTACTCTGAAGCTACGAGCAGTGAGAGACCAAAACTTTCTTCCTTGTGTGCCAGGTAAGATTTTATTGCATTGCGCAGGCAGGAATCAGGAGATTTCTACTTTTAATATTATAGCTCAGTATTCCTAATGATCTGATTTGAGCCATAGCTGCAGAGGTCTACATGCCTTACTTCATGTTACATTTTTATTTTTGAATGTTTAGATTGCATTTTTATGAGAAGTACTATGCTGTTTTTATTTTATAGGGATTTTCTAAACCTTAAGTTTTATGAAGATTGCTGTGTAAGGACAAGTGTTGGGGAAATGTATATATTTTTAGATCTCAGTCTCATGTATTCATATGAGAGGATAACTGCCTGTAACAGTCAGAATTAGGAAGCAGTTTCCCTAGTATCACCTATTCATTTCTTGGTTATATATTACGTAATGATGAGAATGATAAAAGACGTATAGGGCAGAGTATAATGATGATGTACAAAGTTCAGTAACTCTGAAGCCAAGTCACAGAAATATGAATTTTGTTTGCTATGGGTTCATTACCGCTTACTATTTATTTTGTTCATTGATATAAAGCAAATAGATTTTCCACCAATTCCTGAGTGCATAGACTGTTTGCTCCTGCTGGCATGAGTATGCTGGTTGACATACTATGTTTTTGGGCTGGGGCAGAGACTACAACACAATGTACAATCTTCATGCTGATAGTGCTCCTGGTGGGATCTGAACACAATCTCACCCCCCTTCTCTGCATTATACAGCCATATATACATCACCCTGCCTTTTCTACCCCTCAGTGGCTATACATACACAATCTCACCCACCATTCTTCACATCATACTGCCATATATAGATCAGCTTGCCCCTTCTACCTCTCAGTGGCTATACATACAGCATCTCAGCCCCTTCCCCATACCATACAGCCATATATGTACACCATCTCACTTCAACCCCTCAGTGGCTATACATACTCCATTTTACCCCAACCGGAAGTAAAAAGCTTCCCACTCACAGTAGCTATATATGCTCCATTTAACATTCTAGAAGCAGTTTATATTTTATGACCATTACATTTGCACTTTACATGTCCATTTATATATTTACATTTGTTTGAGAAACCTTTCCACATTTTACTGGGGAACATATGCTGCAAATACCTAGGCCTAGTGACACCCCTGGTAACCTTTCCTTTTCCATATGCTCAGTTTATAATTGTTCAGGTTATTGACAGGTATGTGCAAAGCCAATATTCATTTATTTTCATCTTCAACAAAATATGTAATTTGGCTTGAAGTGCCCAAACGTTTGTATATATGAGATCTCAATTTACAAACTACCAATTTATGGGGATTAATTGTAAGTATCCCTTTTTGGAACTACGTTT